AGGGGTGCGCCTCAGTAACCTTGAACAGCCTTTGGATAGCCATGTACCCCGAGACACCAACCGGATAGCCACCCTAAACCCTTTATACTTCTTTAGCATTCGTGCTACACGTGAGATACCGCACAAGAGGTGTGGTATCGAGCAGGACTAGCAGTTAAACTTAAATATGTTTTAGAAGCTTACTTTAGATCGATAGACTCTTGTTTGGAGATATTATGTATCTTGCCGTTATATTCCAACTACCTCTGAATTGTATCTATTTATTCATTCAATTATTGTATATATCCGTTTTAGCTTTAGTTTAGTTTATTCAAGCGTATTCCTTGTTCCTACTCCCCACGGCTATGTTGAGCCTAGATTGTTATATACTGTGTATCGCACACTGAGCTGGGAATTGTGGCCTAAGAGTCATTGTGAACATATACAGTCCTGAGTATTCATAAGTGCATAACTTCACACGTAGAGTTAGCCTCCAGTCGTATAGTAGGGACTCGAGGCCGTAAGCGTAGTCAGGGTGCAGGTGTGATAGGGGCGGGCACGAACGCTACCTTACACAAGAGCCGCGCGCTGAATTAGATTGTAAAATCTGATAATTTGATTGTAAAATCGCATAAACGCGCCTATTTGCGCGTTTTAGAGGGTTCAATTACGCCAGGCTATGTTTATGAACATAATAGCCTGGGTCCCCAGGTAACTATTTTTTAGCATTTTGCACAAGCATTAAGCAATTTCTTTTAAGTGAAGATGGAAAAAATTAATAAAAATTGTTAGGTTAAGTAGTAAGCGCCGTAAGCTAGTATTAACAAAGGTTTTTTAAAAAATGTCTACAACATATTTCAAAAATATTTTTACAGAAAAAAATTGTATTTACCACACACAGGAGGACTATAGTGCAAAGAAACTGTTGATTCACTATTTCAATCCTTCGAAGCTCTGTGAGGCACAGTGGTGCATTTCGCCGATCTACCGAAGTGTGGTTGCGAGAAGCGCGCGCGACAGCAGCAGTTAGCAATAGTGAGCAGCAGTGAGCAGCAGTGAGCAGCAGTTTTTGCACCATAATAGTCCTCCTGTGCACAAAAAATTAGTACATATTATGTTATATTCATAAATGATAAATAAATAAATTCAACCACATACACAGCCCGCCGCGCACACAGCCACATGCACACATTGTCGAAAAATCTTTAGGTGCGGCTGCAAGCGCCGCACGCGGGGTTTATTCAAGATAAAATCCAATTTTTTAAATAACCTACCAGGATCGAGGACGCGCACCGAGTTGGAACAAATATTTTACGAGTATCACCCGTTAATAATTGCTATGATCTTACAATTACATGTCACATTTAGAATATTTGGTTTATTTTGAAAGGTCGAAATGAAGCCAATTATGGATATATTTTGCTACACAATTTATATAATACCTCTCTCGGCCGCGATCAAAAGGGTTTGTAGCGTGTGTCAAGATCAAGATCTATTCTATCACCTATCTTTAAGTTAAAGTCTTTAAACTTGAGCCTCTATTATATAACTGCTTTGCTTCTTGTATTGGAGTTGTTATGTAGTAACCTGGTAGAAAAATTGAGCAAGCAATATTTTTATTGAAAAATCCCTCAAAATTTGAATCCTTCAAAAGCTTTCTTCGACGTTTGCTACTTTTAAATATTGGTTTGGTATTTATTTTTGATGCAGTTCTTAGGAAAACAAATTTTTGGTTTGGGGTTTGCAAAAAACTTGGTGTTTTGACTATTTACAAAATAGTCCATACGGGGTGTGTGGTAAATCATGTTCAGTATACAGTAATACCCCAATTAACCGTGCCCAGATTTACCTCAAACCCTGACTGCGGTCATTTCCTTCCCCCAAATAGGGCTTAACACATAAGGAACAAAATTATTCAAACAATATACACATAATATAACAATTACCCTATATAAAAATTCAATAGAAATTCAATAGAAAACTAAATAAAATTTATAAACACCCTTTAAGTAGTATAATTAAACCAGTTTAAAGAACTGGCTCCAAATTTATATCTAATTCTGCTATTTTTACTGCACTACTACTTTTTAACCCTCTCTCTCCTCTAAGAGCTATGATTGTTGTTCTCAATAAGTCAAATCTTACTCTCTTCCTAATAAATGTCATTGCCTCGCTATATCGTTGGCCTGATATCCGCTAATTTCTTGAAGAACTTATTAGCTTCCCTTCCCATACCCCCAGTGGTTGATAGGACTATCGGTGTAAACGTCCCATGTTCGACTTCTACAATCCTTTTATTGTATAAATTCTTTTTCTGTCTCTCGTGGCTATTGTACATAGTGGTTGGAGATCCAAGAGCCTTATTGGAAGGAGCTTGAGCATGAAATACTCTTACATCTAAAAATGCCCTTTCCAATGGGTTCCATACACTCCTAGCACTAACATCTAATCTAGCTCCATCTGCTTTGTTGGCCCCTGCTCTCTGTTCTCTCCCGTTGACAGGAATGAGGAGAGGTTCAGTGGTAACATCTTTACAGCCAGCAGTTTCTAATAGCTCTGCTATCACATCTCTCAATGAATTGTGGCGGAGAGATACATACCCACCCCTTTTGCATATCAATGAGTGGTTTATTGAGTTGTCACTTCCACATACACATTTTCTTGCAGCATCTTTTATTCCAAAGTTGTACCTAAGGGCTAGGGCGTCATTGAATTCTTGTTTGTTGAGACAGAATCCAACATTAACAAATAATGTAAACAATCATAACCTTGCACGATTTACTGCAAACCCCAATATACGTATATATACTGTGGCTTTTCTCTTTCTCTCAAACACAGTGGTAAATCAGGGTATCACTGTATCAAGGTTTTACTGTAGATCATAACCCCTCTATACCGCAGTCCGAACTTCTATGTACTGTGCTTTATTTATCTAAAACCTGTGTTTGGCAAATATTTTGTCATTGATTTTTTTTGTCACAACTATGAAAAAGAGTGTCAAACAGTATATATACAATAAATTAATTCCAGTGTTGCAATTGGCAGAGCACAATACAGAGGTAACGGAAATTGTCCACTGCTACCAATATTAGACAGTTTTTGGGTTTTCCAAATAGTTTCTGATTATTCTGATTTGCGACAAATGATATTGCACTGTTAGGATAAACGACGTTTCAAAGTAACAACTTCTTATTCATGCTGACAAAATTGGTAAATATGTGAGAAAACTGTCTCATAAAATTTATTAATCAAAAATGGCTAAACGACAACAAATTGTTCAAATACTCAACTAAAATTAGAATCAAAATCTATATATATACAACACTACTCGATCTGCTATTCAATAAACTTAAAACATCCACTAAACAGCAAGTACGTGATTGTGATCGTGTGATGGAATGACATGTACAGTGATAACAGATGATAAGATGTAAGTGATAACAGATGATAAGGTAAAAGATACAATACATGTGAGATGGTGTATACACAATGTGAGTGAAAATATAGTGAGTGGTTACTGATTGTGAGCGAGATGTGAAAAACCATTAAAACTTACTACTGCTAGAAAACTTAAACTGTATGCAATAAAAAGGGAATGAAACTAAAATATCTAAAATTCTTCAGTACTAGCTATGATAAAACGTTTAATAGTATCCAGTTCTTCTCTCTTGTTAATTGTAGGGTTCAGATTAATAATAAACATCGCTTCGAAAATCTTTCTTCTGACAGTATTGGGTTCAATTCTTAAAATATCTACCTCTAAACTGGGATTTAACCCCTCATGACAGCTCGAATAATGTATGGCAAAAGCTTGACTAACATTAGAAGGGGTAGCAGGGTAGGTAGCGTAACGTAAGTGTTCTCCTACACGAGCATGTACTTTCCTACTGGTTTCTCCAACGTACAGCTGGTCACATAATTTACACTTAATCTTATATACAACATTCTTCACTTCACAATCTTTATTACAAACTATCAAAGGACAAATTTTACATGAATTAATACTGCACACACGTTTATCATACGGTCTGTTACTACATAAAATATTTCTCAATTTCGAAGTAGGTTTAAAGTTTACTTTAATAGGTAAATTGTTCTGCTTTACATAATTTCTAATCTTATTGCTAGTACTGTCCGAAATAAAATCTAAATTAAGAACTGTCCTGGAATCATCCTCAACACTCTGACGCCTGTTAGAATTACTACTGTTACAATAACGTCTTGGGTTCTGGTAACCGTTTTTCTGTAATAGATCATCAAGGAGTCTGAGAGAGTGCTCCTTTTCCGCTGGGCCAGATGAGATACGGCAAGCCTCGCTATATAGGTTCTTCACTGTATTAATCTTAACAGACTCAGGATGGCAAGAGTTGTTGTGCAGGGTAATATCCTTTTGTTGCGGCTTGCGGTACAATCTGCTGGTTAATATTATATAATATGAAATATCAAAAATCAAATATATACACATCTACTCCATCATAGGGGCAGGGATGAGGTTATAAGAGACTTCTGATAGTGGTTTCTCATATTTGCTGTCAATTTTTTCCCTCTGTACCCTCGTAGAGCAATGAGTGTGGTTCTTAACATTGCAAATCGTATTCTTGTCCTCACATGTCTTACCACATCGCAATACCTCTCTTTCCTTTTCCTGGCAATGAGGTCTGCTAATCTATTTACAAATCGTTTACATTCTTTGGACAAGCCTCCAGTTGTGTCATTGATTTGTTAAAAACCTCGATTATGGAGCTTCAGAAGCTCCATAATCGAGGTTACAAACAATTGCAGGGTTTAACAAAACTTCATTTCTGCTGCTCTCTCGTATGTTATGAAACACATGGTTTAGACGATTTTTATATAAATAAATAGTTGAATAAGTTTTGGTTGAAACAGTAATTATTTGCATCACCTTCGGCACTGGTCTGAATAATAAAAATACATATCTGCATTTGCTGCATCTTATATGCTATTGCTATTGTTTGACTGTGCGGTCAACATTATTTGTTTTCTTATTTGTTGACTGTTTTATTAAAAATATTAATCTGCAGATAAATAACTGTAGGTAAGTTATTAATGGGCCCAGTTTATGGGTAAAGTTAAAGCTTTCAACTTTGAATTGACGGGCAACAAAGCAGTATTCTATCCTGGACAATGGGTCAGCGGTGACTGTAAACTCGTCGTCAATGAGGCCCTCAAGATCAAATCGTTCAACATCCGATTAATTGGTATGTGAAAACATCATGTGTGCCTTAAATCTTCTTTGAATTGCTTACTCTGTTCTTTGTTTTTATCATTAATTAAAGCAGTAACAATGTTATCATGTTTCTATAAGCATGTGTTTCTATAGTTTTATGTTGTAAATTTTTGTAATAATACAAATGTTTGCTCAGGAGAGGCTGGATACTGTTTAAAGAAAGGTGGACAAGTAAAAAAGCGAGAGTTTGTATTGCCAGTCCAGACCCAAGTCATCTATGGGCCAGGTAGACATCAGAGTTCTTATTTTACTAGGAGGAAAACGAAACAACGGGCGCAATTCTTGTATATACCTAAAACACAATCTTGAATATGTCAAGTAAACTTGTTGTGACTTATAGTTCTTCAATGTTTCAGCTACCATCAGTATGGGAGAGCATGTCCATCAGTTTAGATTTCAAATCCCACCAGAAAACCTGCCCACTTCTTTTGAAGGAGAATACGGTTTTATTAGGTCAGTGTTTAAGAGTACAGTGTACCTGGGTACATGTGATGGTACAATTTATCAGTTGTTGTTTGTTGAACCATTCATCTTATTAGTCTGATAGAAAAATGTGTTTTTATTATAATTCTAATGTATTATTATGTCTAATGTGATAATCCCACTACAGGTACTCTCTGGTCGGGTCTATAGTGTATTTTATTATGTCTAATGTGATAATCCCACTACAGGTACTCCCTGGTCGGGGCTATTGACCGACCCTGGAAAGTGTATTTTATTATGTCTAATGTTATAATCCCACTACAGGTACTCCCTGGTCGGGTCTATAGACCGACCCTGGAAAGTGTATTTTATTATGTGTAATGTGATAATCCCACTACAGGTACTCCCTGGTCGGGTCTATAGACCGACCCTGGAAAGTGTATTTTATTATGTCTAATGTGATAATCCCACTACAGGTACTCTCTGGTCGGGTCTATAGACCGACCCTGGAAAGTGTATATTATTATGTCTAATGTGATAATCCCACTACAGGTACTCCCTGGTCGGGTCTATAGACCGACCCTGGAAAGTGTATATTATTATGTCTAATGTGATAATCCCACTACAGGTACTCTCTGGTCGGGGCTATTGACCGACCCTGGAAAGTGTATATTATTATGTCTAATGTGATAATCCCACTACAGGTACTCCCTGGTCGGGTCTATAGACCGACCCTGGAAAGTGTATATTATTATGTCTAATGTGATAATCCCACTACAGGTACTCCCTGGTCGGGTCTATAGACCGACCCTGGAAAGTGTATTTTATTATGTCTAATATGATAATCCCACTACAGGTACTCCCTGGTCGGGGCTATAGACCGACCCTGGAAAGTGTATTTTATTATGTCTAATATGATAATCCCACTACAGGTACTCCCTGGTCGGGGCTATAGACCGACCCTGGAAAGTGTATTTTATTATGTCTAATGTGATAATCCCACTACAGGTACTCCCTGGTCGGGTCTATACTAATGTGATAATCCCACTACAGGTACTCCCTGGTCTGGTCTATACTAATATGATAATCCCACTACAGGTACTCCCTGGTCGGGGCTATAGACCGACCCTGGAAAGTGTATTTTATTATGTCTAATGTGATACTCCCACTACAGGTACTCCCTGGTCGGGTCTATAGACCGACCCTGGAAAGTGTATTTTATTATGTGTAATGTGATAATCCCACTACAGGTACTCCCTGGTCGGGGCTATAGTGTATTTTATTATGTCTAATGTGATAATCCCACTACAGGTACTCCCTGGTCGGGTCTATAGTGTATATTATTATGTCTAATATGATAATCCCACTACAGGTACTCCCTGGTCGGGGCTATAGACCGACCCTGGAAAGTGTATTTTATTATGTCTAATGTGATAATCCCACTACAGGTACTCCCTGGTCGGGTCTATACTAATGTGATAATCCCACTACAGGTACTCCCTGGTCTGGTCTATACTAATATGATAATCCCACTACAGGTACTCCCTGGTCGGGGCTATAGACCGACCCTGGAAAGTGTATTTTATTATGTCTAATGTGATACTCCCACTACAGGTACTCCCTGGTCGGGTCTATAGACCGACCCTGGAAAGTGTATTTTATTATGTCTAATGTGATAATCCCACTACAGGTACTCCCTGGTCGGGGCTATAGTGTATTTTATTATGTCTAATGTGATAATCCCACTACAGGTACTCCCTGGTCGGGTCTATAGTGTATTTTATTATGTCTAATATGATAATCCCACTACAGGTACTCCCTGGTCGGGTCTATAGTGTATATTATTATGTCTAATATGATAATGCCACTACAGGTACTCCCTGGTCGGGTCTATAGTGTATATTATTATGTCTAATATGATAATCCCACTACAGGTACTCCCTGGTCGGGGCTATTGTGTATATTATTATGTCTAATGTGATAATCCCACTACAGGTACTCCCTGGTCGGGGCTATTGACCGACCCTGGAAAGTGTATATTATTATGTCTAATGTGATAATCCCACTACAGGTACTCCCTGGTCGGGTCTATAGACCGACCCTGGAAAGTGTATATTATTATGTCTAATGTGATAATCCCACTACAGGTACTCCCTGGTCGGGGCTATAGACCGACCCTGGAAAGTGTATATTATTATGTCTAATGTGATACTCCCACTACAGGTACTCCCTGGTCGGGTCTATAGTGTATATTATTATGTCTAATATGATAATCCCACTACAGGTACTCTCTGGTCGGGGCTATAGACCGACCCTGGAAAGTGTATTTTATTATGTCTAATATGATAATCCCACTACAGGTACTCTCTGGTCGGGGCTATTGACCGACCCTGGAAAGACCAGATCACAACCAGGAAGATGTTCTCGGTGTGGGAGTATGTTGACTGCAACAATCCACTCCTTAGTGTAAGTAACCAGTGTGTTACCAGTAACCAGTATGTTGACTGCAACAATCCACTCCTTAGTGTACGTTACTATCTTATATACTATACTTACTATCTTACAGTACTCAGTAACCAGTGTGTTACCAGTAACCAGTATGTTGACTGCAACAATCCACTCCTTAGTGTACGTTACTATCTTATATAATACTATACAGTACTATCTTACAGTACTCAGTGTACGTTACTATCTTATATACTATACTTACTATCTTACAGTATTCAGTAACCAGTGTGTTACCAGTAACCAGTATGTTGACTGCAACAATCCACTCCTTAGTGTACGTTACTATCTTATATAATACTATACAGTACTATCTTACAGTACTCAGTGTACGTTACTATCTTATATACTATACTTACTATCTTACAGTATTCAGTAACCAGTGTGTTACCAGTAACCAGTATGTTGACTGCAACAATCCACTCCTTAGTGTACGTTACTATCTTATATAATACTATACAGTACTATCTTACAGTACTCAGTGTACGTTACTATCTTATATACTATACTTACTATCTTACAGTATTCAGTAACCAGTGTGTTACCAGTAACCAGTATGTTGACTGCAACAATCCACTCCTTAGTGTACGTTACTATCTTATATACTATACAGTACTATCTTACAGTACTCAGTAGCCAGTGGGTTACTAGTAACCAGTATGTTGACTGCAACAATCCACTCCTTAGTGTACGTTACTATCTTATATAATACTATACAGTACTCAGTAACCAGTATGTTGACTGCAACAATCCACTCCTTAGTGTACGTTACTATCTTATATAATACTATACAGTACTATCTTATAGTACTCAGTAACCAGTGTGTTACCAGTAACCAGTATGTTGACTGCAACAATCCACTCCTTAGTGTACGTTACTATCTTATATACTATACAGTACTATCTTACAGTACTCAGTGTACGTTACTATCTTATATACTATACTTACTATCTTACAGTATTCAGTAACCAGTGTGTTACCAGTAACCAGTATGTTGACTGCAACAATCCACTCCTTAGTGTACGTTACTATCTTATATACTATACAGTACTATCTTACAGTACTCAGTAGCCAGTGGGTTACTAGTAACCAGTATGTTGACTGCAACAATCCACTCCTTAGTGTACGTTACTATCTTATATAATACTATACAGTACTCAGTAACCAGTATGTTGACTGCAACAATCCACTCCTTAGTGTACGTTACTATCTTATATAATACTATACAGTACTATCTTATAGTACTCAGTAACCAGTGTGTTACCAGTAACCAGTATGTTGACTGCAACAATCCACTCCTTAGTGTACGTTACTATCTTATATACTATACAGTACTATCTTACAGTACTCAGTGTACGTTACTATCTTATATACTATACTTACTATCTTACAGTATTCAGTAACCAGTGTGTTACCAGTAACCAGTATGTTGACTGCAACAATCCACTCCTTAGTGTACGTTACTATCTTATATACTATACAGTACTATCTTACAGTACTCAGTAGCCAGTGGGTTACTAGTAACCAGTATGTTGACTGCAACAATCCACTCCTTAGTGTACGTTACTATCTTATATAATACTATACAGTACTCAGTAACCAGTATGTTGACTGCAACAATCCACTCCTTAGTGTACGTTACTATCTTATATAATACTATACAGTACTATCTTATAGTACTCAGTAACCAGTGTGTTACCAGTAACCAGTGTGTTGACTGCAACAATCCACTCCTTAGTGTACGTTACTATCTTATATACTATACAGTACTCAGTGTATGGTTTGAGGGATTGTTGCAACAATCTGCATCTAATATTGCTTATATAATATGTACTATGTATTCAGAGCTGTTATCTAAATGCAATTTGCTGCCCACCAAGGTTACTGACTTCAATTGTTTGTTTGAGTTGAGAGAAGTGCTCATTAACTATATAAACATTGCAGGCACCCCAAGTTGGACAGAGTGAGAAGTTACAGAAAGGGGGCTGCTGTTCCCCAGCTAAAAGGAGTTACATTACTCTTCAGCTGGATAGGAGGGGGTACTGTCCTGGGGAGAACGTTATCGTCAGCCTCAAGGTTACTAAACTTACACAGCACTTACACAGCACTTACACATCACTTACACAGCACTTACACAGCACTTACACTTACACAGCACTTACACAGCACTTACACAGCACTTACACTTACACCACTTACACAGCATGAGCACTTACACAGCACTTACACAGCACTTACACAGCACTTACACAGCACTTACACAGCACTTACACAGCATGAGCACTTACACAGCACTTACACAATGTACTTACACAGCACTTACACAGCACTTACACAGCACTTACACAGCACTTACACAACACTTACACAGCATGAGCACTTACACAGCACTTACACAATGTACTTACACAGCACTTACACAGCACTTACACAGCACTTACACAACACTTACACAGCACTTACACAGCACTTACACAACACTTACACAGCACTTACACCTTTACACAGCACTTACACAACACTTACACAGCACTTACACAGCACTTACACAGCACTTACACAGCACTTACACAGCGCTTACACAGCACTTACACAGCACTTACACAGCACTTACACAGCACTTACACAGCACTTACACAACACTTACACAGCACTTACACAGCACTTACACAGCACTTACACAACACTTACACAACACTTACACAGCATGAGCACTTACACAGCACTTACACAATGTACTTACACAGCACTTACACAACACTTACACAGCACTTACACAGCACTTACACAACACTTACACAGCACTTACACAGCACTTACACCTTTACACAGCACTTACACAACACTTACACAGCACTTACACAGCACTTACACGGCACTTACACAGCACTTACACAGCACTTACACAGCACTTACACAGCACTTACACAGCACTTACACAGCACTTACACAGCACTTACACAGCACTTACACAGCACTTACACAGCACTTACACAGCACTTACACAGCACTTACACAGCACTTACACAGCACTTACACAGCACTTACACAGCACTTACAGAACACTTACACAACACTTACACAGCACTTACACAGCACTTACACAGCACTTACACAGCACTTACACAACACTTACACAGCACTTACACAGCACTTACACAGCACTTACATGCAGCACTTACACAGCACTTACACAGCACTTACACGGCACTTACACGGCACTTACATACAGCACTTACACAACACTTACACAACACTTACACAGCATTCGTATAAATTACTACATATTATTATGTGTATAGATAATTAGCTACACGGTGTATATTTTATAACGAATTACCACATGCAAATAATATCGACTAATGTCTTGTGTTAAATGCTGTACAGTAAACATTACCCCCTTACCCTCCCCCGACCCCCCGTAGTGTACAGTAAACTGCGGACGTTACCCCCTTCCCCCGACCCCACAAGAGGTAGAGATTCTATATTACCCTCCCCCGACCCCACAAGAGGTAGAGATTCTATATTACCCTCCCCCGACCCCACAAGAGGTAGAGATTCTATATTACCCCCCCCCCCCCCACAAGAGGTAGAGATTCTATATTACCCTCCCCCCCCCCACAAGAGGTAGAGATTCTATATTACCCTCCCCCGACCCCACAAGAGGTAGAGATTCTATATTACCCTCCCCCGACCCCACAAGAGGTAGAGATTCTATATTACCCCCCCCCCGACCCCACAAGAGGTAGAGATTCTATATTACCCTCCCCCGACCCCACAAGAGGTAGAGATTCTATATTACCCTCCCCCGACCCCACAAGAGGTAGAGATTCTATATTACCCTCCCCCGACCCCACAAGAGGTAGAGATTCTATATTACCCTCCCCCGACCCCACAAGAGGTAGAGATTCTATATTACCCTCCCCCGACCCCACAAGAGGTAGAGATTCTATATTACCTTCCCCCGACCCCACAAGAGGTAGAGATTCTATATTACCCTCCCCCGACCCCACAAGAGGTAGAGATTCTATATTACCCTCCCCCGACCCCACAAGAGGTAGAGATTCTATATTACCTTCCCCCGACCCCACAAGAGGTAGAGATTCTATATTACCCTCCCCCGACCCCACAAGAGTTAGAGATTCTATATTACCCTCCCCCGACCCCACAAGAGGTAGAGATTCTATATTACCCTCCCCCGACCCCACAAGAGGTAGAGATTCTATATTACCCTCCCCCCCCCACAAGAGGTAGAGATTCTATATTACCCTCCCCCGACCCCACAAGAGGTAGAGATTCTATATTACCCTCCCCCGACCCCACAAGAGGTAGAGATTCTATATTACCCTCCCCCGACCCCACAAGAGGTAGAGATTCTATATTACCCTCCCCCCCCACAAGAGGTAGAGATTCTATATTACCCTCCCCCGACCCCACAAGAGGTAGAGATTCTATATTACCCTCCCCCCCCCACAAGAGGTAGAGATTCTATATTACCTTCCCCCGACCCCACAAGAGGTAGAGATTCTATATTACCTTCCCCCGACCCCACAAGAGGTAGAGATTCTATATTACCCTCCCCCGACCCCACAAAAGGTAGAGATTCTATATTACCCTCCCCCGACCCCACAAGAGGTAGAGATTCTATATTACCCTCCCCCGACCCCACAAGAGGTAGAGATTCTATATTACCCTCCCCCGACCCCACAAGAGGTAGAGATTCTATATTACCCTCCCCCCCCACAAGAGGTAGAGATTCTATATTACCCTCCCCCGACCCCACAAGAGGTAGAGATTCTATATTACCCTCCCCCGACCCCACAAGAGGTAGAGATTCTATATTACCCCCCCCCCCCACAAGAGGTAGAGATTCTATATTACCCTCCCCCCCCCACAAGAGGTAGAGATTCTATATTACCCTCCCCCGACCCCACAAGAGGTAGAGATTCTATATTACCCTCCCCCGACCCCACAAGAGGTAGAGATTCTATATTACCCCCCCCGACCCCACAAGAGGTAGAGATTCTATATTACCCTCCCCCGACCCCACAAGAGGTAGAGATTCTATATTACCCTCCCCCGACCCCACAAGAGGTAGAGATTCTATATTACCCTCCCCCGACCCCACAAGAGGTAGAGATTCTATATTACCCTCCCCCGACCCCACAAGAGGTAGAGATTCTATATTACCCTCCCCCGACCCCACAAGAGGTAGAGATTCTATATTACCTTCCCCCGACCCCACAAGAGGTAGAGATTCTATATTACCCTCCCCCGACCCCACAAGAGGTAGAGATTCTATATTACCCTCCCCCGACCCCACAAGAGGTAGAGATTCTATATTACCCTTCCCCCGACCCCACAAGAGGTAGAGATTCTATATTACCCTCCCCCGACCCCACAAGAGTTAGAGATTCTATATTACCCTCCCCCGACCCCACAAGAGGTAGAGATTCTATATTACCCTCCCCCGACCCCACAAGAGGTAGAGATTCTATATTACCCTCCCCCCCCCACAAGAGGTAGAGATTCTATATTACCCTCCCCCGACCCCACAAGAGGTAGAGATTCTATATTACCCTCCCCCGACCCCACAAGAGGTAGAGATTCTATATTACCCTCCCCCGACCCCACAAGAGGTAGAGATTCTATATTACCCTCCCCCCCCACAAGAGGTAGAGATTCTATATTACCCTCCCCCGACCCCACAAGAGGTAGAGATTCTATATTACCCTCCCCCCCCACAAGAGGTAGAGATTCTATATTACCTTCCCCCGACCCCACAAGAGGTAGAGATTCTATATTACCTTCCCCCGACCCCACAAGAGGTAGAGATTCTATATTACCCTCCCCCGACCCCACAAAAGGTAGAGATTCTATATTACCCTCCCCCGACCCCACAAGAGGTAGAGATTCTATATTACCCTCCCCCGACCCCACAAGAGGTAGAGATTCTATATTACCCTCCCCCGACCCCACAAGAGGTAGAGATTCTATATTACCCTCCCCCCCCACAAGAGGTAGAGATTCTATATTACCCTCCCCCGACCCCACAAGAGGTAGAGATTCTATATTACCCTCCCCCGACCCCACAAGAGGTAGAGATTCTATATTACCCTCCCCCGACCCCACAAGAGGTAGAGATTCTATATTACCCTCCCCCGACCCCACAAGAGGTAGAGATTCTATATTACCCTCCCCCGACCCCACAAGAGGTAGAGATTCTATATTACCCTCCCCCGACCCCACAAGAGGTAGAGATTCTATATTACCCTCCCCCGACCTCACAAGAGGTAGAGATTCTATATTACCCTCCCCCGACCCCACAAGAGGTAGAGATTCTATATTACCCTCCCCCGACCCCACAAGAGGTAGAGATTCTATATTACCCTCCCCCGACCCCACAAGAGGTAGAGATTCTATATTACCCTCCCCCGACCCCACAAGAGGTAGAGATTCTATATTACCCTCCCCCGACCCCACAAGAGGTAGAGATTCTATATTACCCTCCCCCGACCCCACAAGAGGTAGAGATTCTATATTACCCTCCCCCGACCCCACAAGAGGTAGAGATTCTATATTACCCTCCCCCGACCCCACAAGAGGTAGAGATTCTATATTACCTTCCCCCGACCCCACAAGAGGTAGAGATTCTATATTACCCTCCCCCGACCCTACAAGAGGTAGAGATTCTATATTACCCTCCCCCGACCCCACAAGAGGTAGAGATTCTATATTACCTTCCCCCGACCCCACAAGAGGTAGAGATTCTATATTACCCTCCCCCCCCACAAGAGGTAGAGATTCTATATTACCCTCCCCCGACCTCACAAGAGGTAGAGATTCTATATTACCCTCCCCCCCCCCACAAGAGGTAGAGATTCTATATTACCCTCCCCCGACCCCACAAGAGGTAGAGATTCTATATTACCCTCCCCCGACCCCACAAGAGGTAGAGATTCTATATTACCTTCCCCCGACCCCACAAGAGGTAGAGATTCTATATTACCCTCCCCCGACCCTACAAGAGGTAGAGATTCTATATTACCCTCCCCCGACCCCACAAGAGGTAGAGATTCTATATTACCCTCCCCCGACCTCACAAGAGGTAGAGATTCTATATTACCCTCCCCCGACCCCACAAGAGGTAGAGATTCTATATTAACCTCCCCCGACCCCACAAGAGGTAGAGATTCTATATTACCTTCCCCCGACCCCACAAGAGGTAGAGATTCTATATTACCCTCCCCCGACCCTACAAGAGGTAGAGATTCTATATTACCCTCCCCCGACCCCACAAGAGGTAGAGATTCTATATTACCCTCCCCCGACCCCACAAGAGGTAGAGATTCTATATTACCCTCCCCCGACCCCACAAGAGGTAGAGATTCTATATTACCCTCCCCCGACCCCACAAGAGGTAGAGATTCTATATTACCCTCCCCCGACCCCACAAGAGGTAGAGATTCTATATTACCTTCCCCCGACCCCACAAGAGGTAGAGATTCTATATTACCCTCCCCCGACCCTACAAGAGGTAGAGATTCTATATTACCCTCCCCCGACCCCACAAGAGGTAGAGATTCTATATTACCCTCCCCCGACCCTACAAGAGGTAGAGATTCTATATTACCCTCCCCCCCCACAAGAGGTAGAGATTCTATATTACCCTCCCCCGACCCCACAAGAGGTAGAGATTCTATATTACCCTCCCCCCCCCCACAAGAGGTAGAGATTCTATATTACCCTCCCCCCCCACAAGAGGTAGAGATTCTATATTACCCTCCCCCCCCCACAAGAGGTAGAGATTCTATATTACCCTCCCCCCCCCCACAAGAGGTAGAGATTCTATATTACCCTCCCCCCCCCCACAAGAGGTAGAGATTCTATATTACCCTCCCCCGACCCCACAAGAGGTAGAGATTCTATATTTTCAACTATTTCTCAGGTTGAAGATTTCCCCCCTGGTATCATTGTTAAGATGATGTTGACTATGGTGTCCATGTTTAAAATGAACGATACTCCACAAAACAAAAGTGGTCAGACTAAACGGTAAGACTCAAATAAATCTATGTAAAATAATAATATTAACAAAACTTTAGTGCAGCGTTGTCAGCCTGGTATTTGATAATATTCTCTTGGGAATTTACAGTTAATTAATTAATTTAGATTGTTATAATTGTTTTATAGAATAGCAGGCCATAATTCGTCCTGCAATTAAGTGTACAAGTAAAACCATCTCTCTATGGTAACTACCTCTCTCTTTACACTGACTCCCTCAGTGATGTTCTACAGACCTGTACTATTGGCACGGTGCCAACTGGTGCTAAGTCTCATCGCTTCCCCAACGCTAGTCTTCAGATTCCTTCAGTTCCACCCACTATTAGGTGGAAGGGTAAATCAGGACTAGGTTAGTTAAACACTACACCACTAGTTACCATGGTAACTAGTGGTAAATCAGGACTAGGTTAGTTAAACACTACACCACTAGTTACCATGGTAACTAGTGGTAAATCAGGACTAGGTTAGTTAAACACTACACCACTAGTTACCATGGTAACTAGTTACCATGGTAACTAGTGGTAAATCAGGACTAGGTTAGTCACATTTCTAAACCACCACCAACTTTCACTAAGCTAACTGTCTTTCAATGTTTAAAGTGAAATTGTATTTAAATGTGCGGAATAATGTTTGAAATACTGATTTTCTAACCTCACCAGGTATTCAAGTGTTTTACCTCGCCGAGGTTAAGATGTTCAAGAAGAAAGGGAAGAAAGCGAAGCAGTTCTGGCACGTCAACGTCCCCGTTACCATGGGAACTATTCCCTTGAACCCCGCTAACGCACAGCTGACCCACGCTCCACTCAGAGCTACACTTTCTAATAATGTTAGTTACTTTATTACAGTACAGTAATGTTATCTTAATTTAGGTAGATTAGCTTTATAATTAGCATTATTTAACTTTGGAAATGGAATGACGTACCATTACCTTTCCTCCACCTATAATAATGTTACACTTTCTAATAATGTTAGTCTTATCTTAATTTAGGTAGATTAGCTTTATAACTAGCATTATTTAACTTATCTTAATTTAGGTAGATTAGCTTTATAATTAGCATTATTTAACTTATCTTAATTTAGGTAGATTAGCTTTATAACTAGCATTATTTAACTTATCTTAATTTAGGTAGATTAGCTTTATAACTAGCATTATTTAACTTATCTTAATTTAGGTAGATTAGCTTTATAACTAGCATTATTTAACTTATCTTAATTTAGGTAGATTAGCTTTATAACTAGCATTATTTAACTTATCTTAATTTAGGTAGATTAGCTTTATAACTAGCATTATTTAACTTATCTTAATTTAGGTAGATTAGCTTTATAACTAGCATTATTTAACTTATCTTAATTTAGGTAGATTAGCTTTATAACTAGCATTATTTAACTTATCTTAATTTAGGTAGATTAGCTTTATAACTAGCATTATTTAACTTATCTTAATTTAGGTAGATTAGCTTTATAACTAGCATTATTTAACTTATCTTAATTTAGGTAGATTAGCTTTATAACTAGCATTATTTAACTTATCTTAATTTAGGTAGATTAGCTTTATAACTAGCATTATTTAACTTATCTTAATTTAGGTAGATTAGCTTTATAACTAGCATTATTTAACTTATCTTAATTTAGGTAGATTAGCTTTATAACTAGCATTATTTAACTTATCTTAATTTAGGTAGATTAGCTTTATAACTAGCATTATTTAACTTATCTTAATTTAGGTAGATTAGCTTTATAACTAGCATTATTTAACTTATCTTAATTTAGGTAGATTAGCTTTATAACTAGCATTATTTAACTTATCTTAATTTAGGTAGATTAGCTTTATAACTAGCATTATTTAACTTATCTTAATTTAGGTAGATTAGCTTTATAACTAGCATTATTTAACTTATCTTAATTTAGGTAGATTAGCTTTATAACTAGCATTATTTAACTTATCTTAATTTAGGTAGATTAGCTTTATAACTAGCATTATTTAACTTATCTTAATTTAGGTAGATTAGCTTTATAATTAGCATTATTTAACTTATCTTAATTTAGGTAGATTAGCTTTATAACTAGCATTATTTAACTTATCTTAATTTAGGTAGATTAGCTTTATAATTAGCATTATTTAACTTATCTTAATTTAGGTAGATTAGCTTTATAATTAGCATTATTTAACTTATCTTAATTTAGGTAGATTAGCTTTATAACTAGCATTATTTAACTTATCTTAATTTAGGTAGATTAGCTTTATAACTAGCATTATTTAACTTATCTTAATTTAGGTAGATTAGCTTTATAATTAGCATTATTTAACTTATCTTAATTTAGGTAGATTAGCTTTATAACTAGCATTATTTAACTTATCTTAATTTAGGTAGATTAGCTTTATAACTAGCATTATTTAACTTATCTTAATTTAGGTAGATTAGCTTTATAACTAGCATTATTTAACTTATCTTAATTTAGGTAGATTAGCTTTATAATTAGCATTATTTAACTTATCTTAATTTAGGTAGATTAGCTTTATAACTAGCATTATTTAACTTATCTTAATTTAGGTAGATTAGCTTTATAACTAGCATTATTTAACTTATCTTAATTTAGGTAGATTAGCTTTATAACTAGCATTATTTAACTTATCTTAATTTAGGTAGATTAGCTTTATAACTAGCATTATTTAACTTATCTTAATTTAGGTAGATTAGCTTTATAATTAGCATTATTTAACTTATCTTAATTTAGGTAGATTAGCTTTATAACTAGCATTATTTAACTTATCTTAATTTAGGTAGATTAGCTTTATAATTAGCATTATTTAACTTATCTTAATTTAGGTAGATTAGCTTTATAATTAGCATTATTTAACTTATCTTAATTTAGGTAGATTAGCTTTATAACTAGCATTATTTAACTTATCTTAATTTAGGTAGATTAGCTTTATAACTAGCATTATTTAACTTATCTTAATTTAGGTAGATTAGCTTTATAATTAGCATTATTTAACTTATCTTAATTTAGGTAGATTAGCTTTATAACTAGCATTATTTAACTTATCTTAATTTAGGTAGATTAGCTTTATAACTAGCATTATTTAACTTATCTTAATTTAGGTAGATTAGCTTTATAACTAGCATTATTTAACTTATCTTAATTTAGGTAGATTAGCTTTATAACTAGCATTATTTAACTTATCTTAATTTAGGTAGATTAGCTTTATAATTAGCATTATTTAACTTATCTTAATTTAGGTAGATTAGCTTTATAACTAGCATTATTTAACTTATCTTAATTTAGGTAGATTAGCTTTATAATTAGCATTATTTAACTTATCTTAATTTAGGTAGATTAGCTTTATAATTAGCATTATTTAACTTTGTAATAATGTTAGTCTTATCTTAAAGGACCAGTTAACTGAAAAATTTGTAGTCTCCAATTTGGCTAAGATTTAAATTAGCTGTGACAAACTGGTAAAGAATCGTATCGCCGAAAGAACCAACTCTCTAGCGTACGTGTAACGCGTGTTATTGCAATAATAAGCTGTGGCCTCGTGACGTCATAAAGTCCCTCAGTGCGCGCTTGCATAGCGTAATTTACATTACAAATGTTTATCATCGTCAATAAAACACGTGTAACTCACTCAAATTTTAGAATTATGACTATTACCCTAGTTCTCCAAAATCCTTATAGTTTTGGCTATCATCCTAACTAAAGGAATAGCTGATTGGATGTACATGAGTGCTCACGTCATGATTTTAAACAGTGATATAGGTTCTTGAACAGTGGCGGGTGAATGTACGGTTAGAAAGTTTCTGCTACTACAAATTATGTCATATGTGATAATTTTGGATTGTTTTCATTGCTTAATTACACAAGCAGGGAGACTGTACCGATTATTTTTCCCCAGTCCATGAAACTCTAACGAATTTAGAAAGGATACAGATAAGTAGGAGTTTGTTCAATTCCGAGAGCAATTATATTTATAGCATAGCGAAATTTCTAACTTTAATCTGCAAGTGTCTGCCAGTACAGGAGACAAGAAGTCTGGCTACTTTACGGCCGTTCCTCTGGGACCATTAGTAGAAGTATCTTCTATCAGAACAGTGCCGTGGGAACAGAATTCCCGCCAAAATACCCGGTCTACCAAATATTAAAATTACTGATTGGAGGTGTGTACGGTGTGAGGTGTGTTTTGAATTAGACTTCCGGCTTACCTAGTTGTTATCCTAATTGCATTATCATCGGTGCATAACATAAATAAACTACTGGTAAGTTTAAATACCAAGTGCAAACGTGTTCAGTCGATCGACCCACTGAACAACTATAGAATTTCCAAGACCCTATTATTCTCTGGCCATATATTACGGCACGATCGATTGTTTATAGATGGCTAAATGACCAACGTTAATCTATACAGGGGGGGGGGGGGGGGGGTGTCACGTCCGTCTATGTCCGCTTGTCTCATAGAATCCAAAAAGGACAGGACATAGGCGGACATAGGCGGACATAGGCGGAAATAGACGGACATAGGCGGACATAGGCGGACATAGACGGACATAGGCAGACATAGGCGCACATAGGCGGACATTAATGGACACCTAAATTGCTAAATAAAATGTTCAATTTTTGCTGTTATAGGGGGGATCATGTTTTTTGTCCGTTCGGTACCCTATATTTTCAAAACGGACAAAAAATAGAGCGGACAAAAACGGACAAAAATGGACAAAAACGGACAAAAATGGAAATAACATTTAGATGCTTCCTCCTCCTACTCTTCCTCCTCCTCCCCCTGGGTCTTCCTGATCTTCCTCAGTCCTCTTCCTCCTCCCCTCCTCAGTCCTCCTCCTACTCCTCCTCCTCGTCCTCAGTCCTCCTCATCAGTCCTCCTCCTCCCCAGTCCTCCTCCTCCTCCTGAGTCCTCCTCCTGGGTCCTCCTCCTGGGTCCTCCACCTCCTCTTCATCCTCCTCCTCTTCCTCCTCAGTCCTCAGTCCTCCTTAGTCCTCCTCCTCATCCTTCTCCTCAGTCCTCCATCCTCCTCCTCAGTCCTCCCCCAGTCCCCCTCCTCCTCCTATTCAGTCCTCCTCCTTCTCAGTCCTCCTCAGTCCTCCTCCTCCTCCTCCTCCTCTTCCCTCTCAGTCATCCTCCTCAGCCATCCTCCTCAGTCCTCCTCAGTCCTCTTCCTCAGTCCTCCTCCTCCTGGGTCCTCCTCCTCCTCTTCATCCTCCTCCTCTTCCTCCTCGGTCCTCAGTCCTCCTCCTCCTGGGTCCTCCTCCTCATCCTTCTCATCAGTCCTCCTCCTCCCCAGTTCTCTCCCAAACCCCCTCCTTCTCCTCCTCCTATTCAGTCCTCCTCCTCCTCCTCCTCCTCAGTTCTCCTCAGTCCTCCTTCTCATTTCTCCTAAGTCCTCCTCCTGAGTCCTCCTCCTCTTCCTTCTGAGTCCTCCTCCTGAGTCCTCCTCCCTCTCAGTCATCCTCCTCAGTCATCCTCCTCAGCCATCCTCCCCAGCCATCCTCCTCAGCCATCCTCCTCAGTACTCCTCAGTCCTCCTCCTTCTCAGTCATCGTCAGTCCTCCTACTCAGTCCTCCTCAGTCCTCCTCCTCCTCCTGGTTCCTCCTCCTCCTCCTCCTCCTGGGTCCTCCTGGGTCTTCCTGATCCTCCCCAGTCCTCTTCCTCCTCCCCTCCTCAGTCCTCCTCCTACTCTTCCTCCTCGTCCTCAGCTCAGTCCTCCTCATCAGTCCTCAACAGTTCTCCTCCTCCCCGGTCCTCCTCCTCCTCCTGGGGCCTTTTCCTGGGTCCTCCTCCTGGGTCCTCCTCCTCCTGGGTCCTCCTCCTC